GAACTGGCCGGTTCGAGTCTCGCTCACTCTCTTTTTCGCGGTCACGGGCCGTTTTCTAAGGTATCGATGCGACCACCAAATTTAATCAAAGTCGTGGGTCACTGAAGGCACACACTCATTATTAAAAATAGAAAAAAATATGAAACCCATTTTTGTGGCTTCTAAAAAGCTGTAAATACGTTGATTGAAAAAAAAAAGTTCCACAGACAACCGGAAGCATTCTGTGCGTTCGTCGTTTCGCGTATCGTGGGACTCGCGGGGACGGCGATGGCAGCGGACGACGGGCGTGGGACCTCTATTTCAGAACTGTCGTTCGCGGTACCGGCGAATTCTGTCTACCGTTAAAAGAGAAATGTGGGACTGATCAAAAGAATCGGTATTCATCCCGTACGACACGCCCGGCCACCAAGCCGATTTGCACGAAGACGTCGCCGAGCCGTCGCTCCCTTCTCGTGGCTGAAGACATCGCTCGCGCAAACGTCAAGCACGACGTGTCTACTTCGAGTTCAATATGCACGCGTACGATTTCTTTACTAGGTGCGAATGTCCCCAAAGCGTGGTGCTTCCCGACTTCGACCCAGGAGTGCTTTTGCTAGAAAAAAATCGACAGCAAACTTTCCAACTTACAGTTTACCGGCTGAATTATTACTAAGGAAAGAGATCCATCAGAGAAGCGATGCCCCAGTAGCTCAGTGGGAAAGACGTCCAGTTCACACGCGGTTGGACCGGGTTCGATCCCCCGTGAAACTTTATTTTTTTTCTTCAAACATTTTCCGATGTTTACATATATATATATTTTTTACAATCATCACTGAAGAAACAAACAAAAAAAATAACAAACTAATGTTGTGGACGATACTTCGCTGATTTAAATGGTATGGGATTTCCGTTTTGACACCTGCGAGCTCAATGTAATCACTTTCCACAAAATGCAAGGAGCATATAAATCAGGTAACGTCCGCTTTCCGAGGTGCCCGTATATGTTCTACAGGAATTGCAGCCAGCCGTTGGTCCCGATCCCGTTGATCTTTCGGAAACTCTGTCGCACAATGCCACTTTTTTTCGGATTCAGGAAATGTGAGCCAGCTCTTCACGCAACATCTTGGGTGTATTCTTTTCGGAGCCGATCATGGAAATTCACCACGGGCACTCACTACTCATCTCCAACTCCTCAATGTACAAAACAACTCATCTTGGAGTACAGAACAACGAGCGGAACAAACATAACTGCAAAAAAATCGCACGGCGAGCAGTTCCCGCACGCCCCATCGCACGCCGCATGTCCTGTCGTCTGCTACCGGAGAGGAGAAAAAAAAAACAAAAAACAAACGCACGGTAGGGTGTAGCCACGTGACTTCCGCCACCCACTCTCTTCTCTCCACTTCTCCGACCTCCGTCGGGTTTCGGTTTCGAGGAGTTGCGTCTTTTGGCATTATTAAAAAAATACGCTACTGTGTTGCAAAATATTAATTGGGTAGTCCTCCGGCACCATAATGAAGCGCCTGGCAAAAAATAAAAAAATTTTTTTGGGGGGTGTCAGTGTCCCTTTAAGTGATTTCCAAAGGACTAATGCAGACTTTAAAACTGTCGAGTACGTCGGCAACCATGCTGGTAAAGTTGCGATTGTCAGAAGCTAGAACGATTAAATAATCGTCGACGTACCGGAACACTCTTATAACTTTAGTGGTGTCCAATGATTCTTTTAACTTCCTGTCAAGGTGCGCTAGACAGAGATCGCTGAGGACAGGGGCAATGCACGATCATGAGCAACCAACTCGCCCGAACCTCTGTGTTAACAAGTTTCTCAATCTTCCAGTTCCGAAGTATGTTCAATGATAAATCAGCTGTGTTTAAAAGTATCTTAGACTTAATATTATCGGTGCCTGTGGTTGTTAAAATTTTAAGATTGTTGATTATTTTGTTTCTGCGGATGAGATTGAAATGGCCTCCATAAAAGAGTAGTGAACTTCTGCTACAAACGAGATGTTACTTAGGTCCTCAGTGGTAAAAACAGACGTGAAGAAATTATTGAGGACTGTAGGGCAGTTAGCATCGGACACGGGTTGGCCAGTATTGCTGATTACGGATATGTTACTACTATGAAAATCAGTTGGCAATAAATTTTTCCACAATTTTTTGGGTTATTGATATGTAAAGCAAGCAGGTCTCAATGAAAAAAAGTGCTTTTTCTTCGAGTTAGAGGTACAGTAATCCCTTGTTATAATGAAGTCAACAGGACAACAAAAAAATTATATATATAAGCGGTAATTTGACAAAAGCGATAGAGTAAAAAAAACAGTGCCAGCAGCCTTGAAGGTGGACGGGAACACTGCAGAACACTCTGACCGTATATTTAATCAAATAAATCTTATTTATGAACATCTCGCAGCAGCTTCGCCGAGTAAAAAAATGATTAAGTGGAGTTTGTCGATAATGTCATCCGGGCATCAGTCCTCCTCGAACTGCTCCAGGCATTGCAAGAACACTGTCACCGCGGCTGCACTCCACTTTGTTTCAAAGCAGCTGCAGGATGTTTCACGTCTCCACAGTGGTCGGCGTTTCCCGAGGTGCCTTTCCGACGTTGCTTCTGTTTACCCTGGCTGCACGCAAGGTCTACGATCGCAGCATCCGTGGCAGGAGCAACAACGGGAATGTCCGCATCAACAAGTGCGAATGAATTAAAGTTATCGTCGGTGGCTTCGCCAACATTTTTTCACGCACTCTCGTAGAGATGGTTGCAGCTATGGAAATCGTGCGCCGGCTCGGCAAGCATGCTCGTGAGAGAAAGTCCGACATGCACGAAGCAGTTGGCGATCTTTCATCTTTGGGTCTTCTCTTCTCAAACTTCTCGAACCCATCCAAGATGCCTCACTTGTTCCGCAAAATGGTGGACAATGTCCAACAGCCGATGCCGGAATGTCGAATTCTTCGGCGATCTCGAACTTGGTCCAGCCACTTTTCTCAACCTGGCCGATCTAAGCGATTTTCGGTAAACACTCCCAATCTCCCATACGGCACACGTGTACGTGTAGTATGCCGCAGGCACGCCTGCACTGGCGCGAATGTTGGGGGCCCCCGAAAGGATGATCTCCTCAGGGCTCCATCGCTCCCTCGAGCCGATTCCCACAAGAGCCGGGCAGCATTGGCCGCCCGGCTCTTGTGATATGATCCAGCAAAAAAAGGGTACAAAGCACCAGAGCACAAAGTTTTGTGTATTTCAGGGAAATGTCCTAGGGGCCCAGGGAATGCCTCGCCAGCTAGATGGCTTCGAGGAAAAGTGTCGGCCCACTACGCCCCAGTTCAAATTTCAGCTGAGGTGCTCGCACTCCATTGAAGGCACCGTGTAACCGAGATCTAAGCAAAAGGAGGTCAAAGTTAATCCTCTCTTTCTCCAATTGGTTTCACAAGCAAACTGCCAAAACCTCCCTTCTATGTCCCCACAGCTAAGGACATTTCACCATCACTATACAGTACCAACACAGTGTTTCCCAACAAGCCCGCTTTGCCCAGACCAGGAATGTGCACTGCGCGTGCACGGAAACCAAATTCGAAACGAGTGAAGCGTTTAAGCATGCGCAGTACCGACAGCAGCGCCACCGCAGTGGCATGGCGTCAGTGAGTCGAGTTGGTCTATACATGTTTTCACTTCAAAAACCGTAGTAAGGAAAGTTCAGCTTCTTGCAGAGCAAAGGCAAATTAGAAGATTGCATGCCGAATCATCGAAGGGCATCTGGCATACAGGGCCGGAGGACTATGGACCTATTTCGACCACCTGGGGATCTTACACATCTTAATACAGCGCTTAAGCAGAGAGGAAGACTACACGAAGGATAACTTCCATCTCATGTATCATGAGAAAGACAGGAAGACATCAATCGGGAATCAGTGCTCTCTGCTTGCGCACTATTTGAATATGTTGTCTTTGTACCAACTAGCTCACCACTCCCCATACAATTGAAATCTCAGCAACCTCACCAGAATAGGTCTTTGCCGGAGCGTAGACACTTTGCCAGGACCCTAACCCGCAAACTGGAGCCTTGGAGCCAAAGAAGCAGTTTTCTCGCCGAGCATTAAAGGGGCCCTGCAATCCTATTTAAGCATCTACCGTTTTTGCGGTTTCCACGACTCTTGGGGTTCGGGCAAGCCAGCGGGCACGGAGAGAGCAACTAAATATCAGTGCGTCATATTTTAACCAGACGACGCGGAAACCTCCCACCTACGGGGGCGACCCACAGTACCGAAAACGCGCGATATGTGACGTCTTTGGTCCTGAGCTTACTGCTGGTCGGAGCCGCTAAAAGCTTCTTTTTAGTCGACATACAAAATATAATGGCGCGAACCGTTTAATTATTTACAAAAGTAGTTTTTATTCAGTATTTTAGACCAGAAAAGAAACAAATGAAGCTTAGAAAGTCTGGAAAACAGAAATGACCCGTTGACATACCCGCCACCAAGCGGTAAAAAAGGAGGCGCATACTAGAAAGGAATAGTGGGATCAGGCTCCGACGAGCGGCGAATGTAGAAAGGTCCCTGACGTATGCGGCGGCGCTGCGGTCGTTTACAGACTCGGGGATCTGACCGGTTCCGAGCATTCCGAAGAAATACAAACATGGAACATATACTCTGATTGGCAAAAACTGAAATCAACATCTGCTCGGAAAGAAATATACAAAAGCACCCATGTTGACTCATCAAACAGAAATATAAACAGAGAGTAGCAAAAAAGAAAATAATCGGATATGGTCGCAATATTTGCTGGAAGGTGGTTCCAGTCGTTTGATGTATGTGAGATTATTCGCAATTTTCAAACATTTGAAAAAGTTTAATTGTGTGAACGGTAGAAGCGTGCTACGAATCGAATCGGAACAGCCAACGCTCGTCGCAAATCATCCCAAGTTTGGACTATTTGAGGACCTTCTTTCTGAGAGCCCAATCTGGTGAGGAGCACCTGTCGGGGTGCGAGAACAATGGCAAATAAAGAAAAGAGGGAGAGCACAGACCTCGTCCTGGCACGGGTAGAGCTCGAAGAGGGCGTCGTGGCGGCTCTCCTGGCGGACCAGCGCGTTCCTCCGGTCCAGCTCTTCCGGGGGAGTGCGCTCCAGCAGCGAGGGCAGCAGCGGGTCTGCCTCCGAGTTGCGCAGGTCAAACACGCTGCTCGCCCAACTGCCCCGCGGCGTCTCCGAGGGGGCTCCGCCCTGGCAGTCCGCCCGACACACCTGCCCATCCCAGTAGAAACTTGACACAACCGCCTCGAAGCCCATGCAGAAGGCAATGGTAGCCCAGTTACGGGGATCCGTCCAGAAATTCAAACGTGGCGGCCCGCATAGAGCTACTACGCGTTGCACAAAGCTCGAGGTCTATGAGAATGTGACACTAGCGGATAAAATGTGTCCAAGCACATCGCATTACCTGGATCAAAAACACTAAAGAAAAACAAAATTTCTCTATGTTCACATAAGCGTAATATTCGACAAACCTAAATTTGCGATTGTAGGTGCCTGTACCGTTTCTTTCGGTAAAAAAACTTGTCAACAAGAAAGAGAACAATATCATCTTACTTTCTCACGAAACAAAATGCTACAGGTGACCACAGTCTTTTGGTTTCACAAGGTGGGCTCATAAATATACTTTTGATCCAGGTTGTACGCTCAGACTCGCGCATTTTATTACCACTGCTAACATGTCACTGAGTTTGCAGCTTTCTGGCATGCATTTGTGCGGGCTCGAAAACCAAATTTCCTATTCTCCATCAATATCTGTAGTACTCAAGATTAGCTTTCAGTCAATACAAACAAACCCCAAACCACCGAGCAAATTTTATTCAAATCGGGGGAAAACTGAGAAACCCCCAGAGCATTACGCCTTCAGCTCTTATCTGTTCAGACGGAACACAGCCCCCCCTTTTTCTTTCCTCAATCACGGCCACTGTCACGTTTCCTCAACATGGAGGACCATTTTATCTAACAAAGAAATATGTCTATTTTTTTTTAAAGTAACACGTGTTAGGACACTTCTGAGAACGAGTCGTACGACCTCTCCGATCGCTCGGGCACTTTGTTTCAAATTGGCACTTTGCGCGCAATTTGCGCGTAGATTAGACGCCGTTTGTTGCTCTCGACGTTCCCGAACGTTCTTAATGGTACCAGACAGGAAAGAAGTTGATTGGATGACCGGGAAGCGAGGGAAACAAAGGACATCCAGAGGCCGAGCAAATGCCGAAGGGGTTAAAACCCACCGGGACGTCCTCTCCCGGAGGCGGCTGGCGGCAGGGGGCCTCTCCCAGGTCGACCTCGAACTCCCGGCGGGGCGTGGTGCGCACCACCGCGGCCCGCTCCAGGGGTCCGTCGTGCACCGCCACGCTCGAGCTGTGGCCCTGGTAGCACCGGTTCACCACCACCCAGTCGCAGGTGTGCGTGTGCAGGCACTGGCGCACGTGCGGCTCCAGCTCCTCCCTGGCAACCGTGGCAATGCCTTCTTTACCGACTCCCGTCGGTGTCCCGCCCGTGCATTCAAACAAATGACGTCTCACGAGCCGTCCCTGTCGCCATGTCGGCACGCGGAGCAACGAGTTCTGGAGAGACATACGACGTTTCGGCGTCCCGACTCCCGGTTGCCAGAGCTTCCATCCACTGCCCGTCTTCCATTGCTGCAACCAGATCAATGAAGAGGCAACGCACGTGGCAGACGCCCGTTCCCTTGCAGGTCGCTCTTTCGCCTTACGGGCCACGGAAGCTTCGACAACTGGGAGTCGGGACGACGGGACAAGTGCTCGCTCCTCTTCTCGGCCATTTGGGACCACTTTGGATGCACGCATGGTGTATGACACACGCCGGTAGGAGACACGTTCCATGCATCCTAGTTTCCTGGACGCAGCTCCCTCTGTGCTTTAATTTTTCCAATTTGAAACACGTACCGACACGCCTGGAACCACCCAACTGTAGTTGCAGACCTTTCTTCTGATGTTTCCACACTTGTGAAGAGGCTTACATGGCACTACTTCTTTGTAAAAAACTATATTTATCTGTTCTAAAAAAACCATGGCTCGTATAAAAAGAAAAAGCTTCGCTATATTGTTATTTTCATTCAATAACTGGCGGCCTATTGATTGCGAAATTATAGAGCAAAAGACTAGGACAGAAAGGAACATTCAAACCGGGCAGAGCTCTACTCGCGACTGATTATTTAATGCTCGTATTATAAGAGAGGTGAACCAAGAGAACTAAGTAAACAGATTCAATGAATCCCCGAAAAAGGAATAGAAACGCTGAGAAATGGAAAGAAAAAAAAAGACTAACATTTACAACATTGCTACCGAATCTCAAGAAGCTAATAGACGTAGGCGTATTGAGGAATGCACGGACGTTATACTGAAAGCAGGGTCTCCAAATGCGAGGGGAACCGAGCCGACATATCCAGCATCGTTGATCATTTTCGACAACATGAATTTTATCCGCCAATATCGGACAAGGAAGGTGGATTCGCTGTGTCATCCACAACCGTATACTTTGAAAAAGCTCAGAAGGCTATTGAAAAGAATTTCAACTGCCTCCAGGAGTATAGGGCCAAAACAGTGAAGGTGAGGGCTCTCCAATTGTGCCATCGGATGGACTTGGATCAGAAACTAATCACATCCGCCAAATGGGAGCAGTTGGAAATGTTTTTTGCAGCAAAAACGTGCAGGGAAGGATGCTCTTTCCACGTGGTTGTAAGTGAAAAGAAATTATGGCAGGGGGCTATGTCTCGATATCTTTTACGTAACACGACCTTCCTTAGGTTAAATGACCCTTTCTCCATACCCGATTCGGAGGAAGTGATTCAACATCTGACACAAAAGGCAAAGTCAGTAAAGTTTGACCTTTCTCTAGACGTAGACGACCTGTTTTGCTCTGTCCCACAAAAGGTATTGTTTGAGGCGGTCAGTGGCAGCATCCAGGCTAATGGCAGCGTGGCCTTCCAAAACCTATACCGGTCGAGTCTTCCGGAACTCCCCAGATTTTATCTCCCATCTACAGTGGTCACGTTCAACAGCCATTCCTATATACAAAAGTGAGGAATATGCGTCGGATCATGCATAGCACCGGTACTACGCGACTTATTCCTATCCCAGTGTGGCTGCGAAATAGACCTTCCCACCAAACAGGTGTCACGTGTCTTTCGGTACATAGATGACTACCTCATTCTCCTCCACGAAGGACCCGACCAACATCACTCAACAACATTCAACAGCATCCACACCACTTTCGCCAGAGAAGCTAAGGGATTAAAATTCGCGCATGAACTACCAACCAACAGGCTTCAGTTCCCGGCCCTTCCTTTGGAGATAACCATACACGCCGAACATATTTACCACAATCTAAGAAGCAACTTGCACTGTTTGATTCGGCATTGTAAAATAATTGAATGAGGAATAGTGCAAAGCTGCCTAAAAGCAGACTCGCAAAAGTCCCACGAGCATAAAGTTAAAAAGTGAAAGCCGCTTACAACTCCCTGTAACGCCGAATTAGAGCGCAGCTCTTGAGGAGGAGGAGGGAAGAGCGCTGGGGGGGGGGGGTTAGACTAACCAGGGGGGTCACGTGACCTTGGGGGGTCACGTGACCTTGGGGGGTCACGTGACCCCCAATGCCGATGATGTCATCACTGACGTCACTGATGATGTCATCAGTGACGATGACGATGCGGGTACCGATGACATCATTAGTGACGTCACTGATGACTTCACCAGTGATGATGATGATGACGATGCGAATGTCGGTGACGTCATCAGTGACGTCGCTGACGACGTTATCAGTGATGATGACGATGACGAAACGGATGCCGGTGACGACATCAGTGACGTCACTGATGACGTCATCAGTGATGATGACGATGACGATGCGGATGTCGGTAACGTCATCGTCATCATCACTGATAACGTCACGGGCATCCACATCGTCATCGTCATCATCACTGATGACGTCACCAACATCCGCATCGTCATCGTCACTGATGACGTCACCGGCATCCACATCGTCATCGTCACTGATGACGTCATCATCATTGATGACGTCATCATCACTGATGACGTCATCATCACTGATGACGTCACCGGCATCCACATCGTCATCGTCATCATCACTGATGACGTCACCGGCATCCATATCGTCATCGACATCATCACTGATGACGTCACCGGCATCCGCATCGTCATCGTCATCATCACTGATGGTGACATCATCAGTGATGATGACGATGACGATGTGAATGCCGGTGACGTCATCAGTGTCGATGACGTCATCGGGGGGTCACGCGACATCGGCGGGGGTCACGTGACCTCGAGGAGGGGTCACGTGACCTCAGGGGAGTCACGTGACCTCGGGGGGGGGGGGTCACGTGCCCCCCCACGAAGTCACGTGACCCCGGTGGGGGGCTCGCACGGTGCATTATGGGACATTTCCCATGATGCACCGCGCGGTTACGCCGACGCCGCTCAAGCCGGAAACGGGCCCCTAAGAGCTGCGCTCTAAAAGAGCTTCGAGGTGCAGGTTTTGGATATCTCGGTTCCCTAGTGTTGGATGTGTCTGAATGCTTGGCAGCATGGTCCCATACACGCATAAATTATCTCGGCACTTGAAGCAATCAGCTACAAAACATAAAATACAAGTGGTCCCTCTCAGCTCCGGACAAACTAAAGAAGATGTGTCCAAAGATCGATAGACCACAGAAATGTCCCAGTCCACGCACTGTTCGACAGAGCGTGGCCGGGCTCCTGTGGGAAAGTGTGTGTAGGTCAGACTGGCCGTTGTGTTAATGCGTGATTACGAGAACATGCCCTATGTCTTCACTCACCATCCACGTCAGAGACTCTGCATGCGCCCCTGTGTTCCCTCAAACTCGAATCCACAAGTGCAGCCACAGCAAGAGGGCCAGAGAGATTCATGAAGCCAAATCTATCATGAGTCAAGGGGACAAGTGCAGAAGCGCACCTTCTGCAGCACTGTCGCAAAAAGACCACCATTATCTAGAATGTTTTAAAGTCTACCGGGTCACTTCCCTTTTGTTTCTTTTTTGGTTCATTTCTTAGCGTTTCTTTTTTCGGTGATCCTTCGCATCTAAAAACTTGGTTCACTTTGTTCACTTCTTTCATGATGCAAGCAGTAAATATTCAGTTGTGAGTAGCCCCCTGACCCGTTTCATTGTTCCTTCCTGTCCTAGTCTTTTAGGCTATAATTTTGCAATTGCTATTTTTTACTGGAGCAACCGCTGCCACGGCATCAAAGTGACTGACACGTTAAAAAAATACGAGTCATTTTCATCTTCAACTGTCTCATTGAAATAGGTGTAAACATGAGTACAAAAAGCAAACAAGAACTAAACGTGAGCAGAGGTAAAAATGAAGTACTCTATATTACTTTATTTTTGCGGGCTTGATATTCCACGATTATTTCCAAGTACAAAATTTGGGAATATATTGCGGGCACAAAATTTTGCGATTGAGAGTGGAACGCCATCTATTCTTGCCCATAGGCTGGTATATTTGTATGGTCATGTTTTTGCTACATTTTCCAAGTTGCAAAATTTGGAACATTTAGGTCCTCGCGAAAATTAAGTCGTTTACGGTAAACACGAACGCAAGTAAACGAGCAGCGAACGGCACTACAAGTAGTCAATGACGAGCCAATGTGAGCGGGAGTAAAAAAGGAGAAAACAAGAAGCGAAGAAAAGTGAAGCCCAAGGAGTGGACAAGGAGCAAACCAGGAGCCAAAACGAGAAGGTCCTCACGGGTTTTCTTCGGGCACGATGGGCTCGACGGTGCGACACTTGCGGGGCAGCACTCCGACCTCCAGGTCGTCGTGGGGAAACTCCAGGAGGTCGCTGATCGGATCTCGATCCGCAAGGTCCCGGTGCTGCTCCAGGAAGTCCTCAAAGTCCACGGGCTCCACCACATCGCTCAGCGCCACCTGCGGCCGGACGGGACCTTCAACACCCCCTAGAAATGCTACGCGAGCTGCGCTTGGGAGCAGAAATGCTTCGGCCATCTTGGTGCTCGCAATCCTCGTTGCCAGTTATCGGAAGCTTTATCGGGAATTGCAGGAATCCCAATTTCAACGAAATAACAACTCCCACGACACAATCGGGGAATGGACTGTCAGTGCTCCTACCATAGCTTGTTTGGTATTATGCATCCAAGCATCATGACAACTATTTGTTTTTTAGTCTTTTCTTGCACTCGTAGCAGCCCTCAATAGCCAATCAAAAGTCAATTTTTTTTTTTTTTTACTTATCGAGTTTACGGAGTTACCCTTGCAGGAATGCATCTGGTCAGGATTTTCCCACTTTATTTATTACAATTTTTTATTTATTACAATTTATGATTATATCAATTACAATTACACAAAAAGGGGCCAAAAAAAAACGATTAATTTTCAGAATGTTTTATAACGCATAAGCAGGTACTGCAAAAAAAAACGATTTCATGAGGACCTAATTTTCGTAAAATTTCCCGACTTGAAAATAATGACAAAAAATTGATAAGGCCAATATTTCGCCCCATGGTAACGAATACACAGCATACCCCTTCGAATCATACAATTTTGTGCCCGCAAATTATTCCCGGAACGCAAGCTTCGCTAAATATTTGGCCCATAAAAATAAAATTGTGTACACTAGTTGAAGACCAACCATTCTTTTGTAGTACTGGTCAGAGAGCCTAACTAGAAGTTACCACCGACTAATTCCAAAATGGAAAGTGATGACTGCCACTTTTTCTAGCTCATCAAGTGAGTGGCACACAAGTCCCCAATGCTTTTATGGGACTTCAGTACACTTCAGAAAATTTTATTTTGCATTTGGTACAAAGTGTGTAACATACAGTACTCAGTCGACACAACCAATTTCTCAGTTAAAAAAAAAAATAGAGAGTTGGGCTGACAACAGTTAGCTACATTTTAACTGAGGCCAGAGAGATAGGAATGCTTGTGAGCAACATAAGAGAGCACAACACAAAAAGTGATAAAAGGGTATAACAATGTTCAATTGTCACAATTAATATTTGTCCGCACAAGTTTTAATGCACTTGAGCTTTCATCTGCTGATACTGCAACGTCCACGCAAGGCTACCTGTGCCAGTAGAAGCAGCACTGACCAAAAATAGGGTCCCACTCTATTTTCTATTTTTTAATGGTTTGAAATTAATAGGGCGAGCAAATAGTGATTCGAATCAATCAGCATGTCTAAGAGAAGTGGTTGTTGCGTTTTTTTTTTACGCACTGTGAAAGATACGAATGACACATTCGACTCTAACCACTATTTTCATATGCCTAAAAATTAAGGTTTTGAAAAATTCATTTTAAAAAGCAGATAGTGCCGGCAACCTAAATGCCCTGAACTAAGAAAACAAAAATATCTCCCTGTCATTTTAAAGATAACAAAATGACACTGTCCTTTTTTGTTTTTTTCTGGCATGCCTGATAAAACCTTTAAAACTTCAACTGCTCTTTTTTTCAATACTACACCATGTACACTAATGCTTTCAACACACTTTAGATGGTCTGCAAAAATCAGTTTCTAAACGTTTCGCATTGCAATTTACTACAGAGGTGTGCCTAGGTGGTGGAAGCTCGGAGTGAAAATATCAAAAGACAAACTTACCTCGTTCAAAAAAGAAAAAGCTGGAATGTAGGGCAGCATTCGCAGACGGCATCATGACCGTGCTCGCCTAGTTGCACGTGCCGCCAACAGATGGCGGAAGCACCAAGGGTGCGCAGGCACCGAGCTCAATTTTCCGAGAGCTTTCCCTAAGCGTCTCTCTAAGGCAGGGAGGGGTTCTTACACTTTTTGGTCTCACGGAACCCCAAGAAGCCTCAAAAACTGCCGCAGAACCCTCCCCTTCCCTCCCCCCCTCTATATTTGCCGACCGAGAAGCAACAGATACACAATTGTAGGCAATTTTGCTTGTGTTGCTTCCCATATATCCCCACCATATCAACCGCGATGTCAGTACAAAGTGAGATGAAGGCGCTTTGCATGGTCCTGCCGCACAGCATGCGGCGGGGGAGAGGGGGTTGCAATATGGGTGTTCATGGAACCCATGAGACCAGCTCGTGGAACCCCTATGTTCCCCGGAACCCAGTTTGAGAACCTCTGCTCTAAGGTACAATTCTTAAAGTATTTCTTCATTTTAAAAAAAAAAACTGAATAGGAAAAGAGGAATTTAATTCCCTCCCCGTTTTTTGATACGGGGATGATCGGTCAAGGCACCACATGCTCTCGAGTCTCACGTTGTGCCATCTGTTGGCAGCACATACAACTAGGCGAGCACGATCGTGATACCTAGAGTCACCAAATGAGCAGCGCTTAGAGTATCGGCACTCTATTCCCCGACATTGCTGTGGGTGCCGCCATTTCAGTGCTTGTGCAGAGCAGACGCAACTGCCGATCGTCATGATTCAAAAGTGTGACTTTCTCAGTAATAAGGTGGAGAACTGGGCCAGTTGGTTGACGTTATACATGACGGGGCTGTTTCTGAGCTGTTTTTCCCATCATGTATGACTTTCTCAGCATTAGATTCGGTGTTAGGAAGCTCCTGTAATATTGCTTTGCTTTGTCGGGAACTGTTTATACAATTGTGGAGGACGGAAAAGCATTTCTTGTGATTTTAAATAAAGCTTCAGACAACTGGCCACCATGATTTTAAGCCACAATATGGCCAAGTGTGGTTATTCTAAAGCGTAGCTTATTTAGTGGCACAAGTGATACCGTCTGCGAATGCCACCGCAGATTGTCCCAAACAGGTTTTTCTCAGCTAGGTAACCAAAGAAACCCCGAAGCTTCCACCACCGTAGTAAGTCACGACGTAATGTTCATTTATTTATATTTTTATTTATTTTACGAAATACTACGAACCACCCATGCTTCTAGCAGGGAGGAAGAAACTCAATGCCAAAGTTCTTGCACACCATGTACGAAACAAAGAAAATAATATTCAGTCAAAGTTCCCGTGTACTAAAAACAGGCACATTGCCGCTGAAGGACCTAAATGAGGGATGGTAAAAACGAGGAAACAAAGAAAGAACCCAGGGCATTGCAGTTTCAGCCCAAAATAGAAAGAACAAAGTGGGCCCAGAAACGCAACTAATCATTTGGATAGGTAAAAACCTATCTTCCGAAAATAAATGATGCAACGCTTTACCGAAAGACGTAGAAGAAATAATGTCGCAGGAAGAAAATTCCAATTAATTGTACGAGGAAAGAAGGAATACTTTAACAGACTAGTGTTTGCGTAAAATGGGGTCAAGGAATCTGGTGATGGTGACGAGTACGGCGTGTTTAAACTAATTTCAGGAAGGTCTGCGCATTAAGAGCTAGCTTCTGATAATAGAGGAAATGCAAAAGTTTAAGACGGGTTTTTCTACGACGGAGCTCCAGAGTTTCTATGTTATTGGTCTTCAACATGTCAGGTGGTGAATCCGTTTTATAGAACTTTCCACAAATAAACTTGACAGCTCGCCTTTGCACCTTTTCTAACAGGGCAGAATCCCAGACAGTGCTACCATAATCCAAGTTTAGTCTAACGGGAGATTTGTACTACGCCAACAATCGAATAGGTGGAGGACCACGTTTTAGAATTTTGGGCCTTACAGAACCCAGCCGTCTGAAAGCTGCCGAAGGAATGTTGTTTATGTGTGTATACCAATTCAAATTCTTACTTATAGTTAAACCGAGGTACACTTGTATTCTTCAACCTAAGTAACGGGCAATTAAAATTGGAATGGATTTTTCTTGGTTGTGATCGGGAGACAAAGTGCTTTTTCAAGGTTATACTTGATATCTGAAGTGTCACACCAACACTGTACATCGCTTAGGCTCAAATTGATCACCAAGTTAGTAAATTGGTTAGCAATCATGCGTTCTCACAGCTTTCAAGATGGGCATGTTAAAGAAATGGCCCAGAAGTTACTTATTGACATGTGGTCACCATTCTTAACACACAAATACGATCATTTGGTAGAGTACTGAATGAATAAGAAACACAAAAAATGACCATTAAAAAACGCGCTAACATGTCAGCAGATCGATGTAGAAATGCGTTAGGAATCCTATCAGAACCACAGGAAGATTTCACTTTTAAATTTAATGGGAAAGGATGACGTTTTTCGAGCGAAGTTAGGCTTGTCAAGGTGAGACAAAACCGACTGAGAGTAAGCATTAAAGGGTTGAGCGATTTTGCTCCCATCTGAAACTATCTACCTTGATGTGATCAATAGGCCTCTCCCAATCATGGAGATAATCCCAAAGTTTTTGCGAGTCCTTTTTCTAGGAATTTGTAAGAGCATGAAAAAAGAAAAACTCTTTTGCATGATGTTGTTGTGCAGTAAGAAGGGTCTGCAAGTTCTCAATCTATCAGCATTAGTACAGCTTTCCTTTTTTCTGAGGCGCTTAATCCATCGGTCAAGAAAAATGATTTCTCCACTTACCCGAGGGTTGGATCAGCGAGTGGGATTTCTTTTGCCGGGGATCAAGTTTTCCAGACAAGGAGCACAGATTGCCTTAAATTTGTTCCACAGAACATTGATATCAGGGTCTTTGAAGTCATCGAGACAAAGTTCTAAATATTTAAGAATACTTTTGTCATTAACCATTGTAAAACATTTAACGGTAGTATATAAACGTATATTTTTGCGGCAAATTTGGAGACAGGGTACAACTGAAATACACAAGCTTATGGTCAGAGAGTCCCCGATGAACAGGTACGGAGAAATCGTTTATGCAACGATTAAGGATAACGTTGCAAATGAACGACTAGGACCTTATTCTTGTCTGACCTCATTTACGACTTGAACAAGGTCATAAGCAAATATTGTATCAAATAAAGCTTCGGCATTTCGACGGGAACTGGAAGACAGTTTATACCGGTCGACATTTGGAAGATTGAAATCACCAATTATGAGAGATGAGAATC